ATGTTCTGATGACATGTAATCTGCTTATTCTTTGTCTGAAAAGCAGCAGCCCTTCCTTCAAGATTTTCTTTTTTTCCACTGAAGATATCTGGGTGGGAAGGTGCATTGATGCAGCAGAGATTGCAATCCTGCTTTCTGCCCCTCTGCCAGCTCAGGTGACACCCCACCTGCAGTGCTGCTTCCAGCTCTGGGGTCCCCAGCACAGGAAGGATGTGGAGCTGCTGGAGTGAGTCCAGAGGAGGCCTCGGAGCTGCTCCAAGGGCTGGAGCCCCTCTGCTCTGGAGCCAGGCTGGGAGAGCTGGGGGTGTTCACCTGGAGAAGAGAAGGCTCCAGGGACAACTTAGAGCCCTTCCAGTGCCTAAAGGGGCTCCAAGAGAGCTGGAGAGGGACTTTGGACAAGAGCCTGGAGGGACAGGACACAGCAGAATGACTTCCCACTGTCAGAGGTCAGGGTTAGATGGGATATTGGGAAGGAATTGTCTGTGAGGGTGGTGAGATCCTGGCACAGGTTGCCCAGAGAGGCTGTGGCTGCCCCATCCCTGAAAGAGTTCAAGGCCAGGTTGGATGGGGCTTGGAGCAACCTGGGATAGCAGAAGGTGTCCCTGCCCAGGGCAGGGGGTGGAAGTGGATGACCTTTAAGGTCTCTTCCAACCCAAACCATTCCATGGTTCTGTGATATCAGGAAACGAAAGAGCTCAGGAGTTTGGGTTTCAGCCTCCTCTCGTGTCAGTAACTGGTGCTGTGTCCATGTCCAGTCTGGCTCTGAGCTCTGGGAGTGCCGAATCCACTGGGAGTTGTCAGGGATGAGTGGCCTTGGCTGGGATCAGTTGGGGGTCTCCACTTTGGAGACTTCAAGTGGGATGGGTTTTGGGAGTGCTCTGGCTCTAAAGAAGCCACTATGCACTTCTACCTCTTCTTGAATGGTAAAACACCTCTGGGAGAACCATAAGGAGATGATGGAAAGTGGTATTAATTCAGTGATTGATATATTTGTGATTTCCAAGCTGGATCATGTAACTTGCTGCAAAGAGCCAACTTACTTGCATACAAATTTTGTTGATTGTGCTGATAATAAGAGAAAGAAAGAAGGAACAGAAAAATCATCACTTATCTGTGATGTAGCACAAAGGAACCACTGAAACGACTTCTCTGCTGCTTTGAATATAATTAATATTTTCTGAACCCTCTGGCAAATTTGCCATTATGGCTCAGTTCAGCCTTGCAATGCTCCCATTCTCACTTCCAAGTTCTTTATTTTCTCAGTAATTCTCAATTCTTTAATTTCTCAGGTTTTCTCAGTAACTTTCTAGCACTACCAGCTCACTGAAATGGTGATTTCTTGGAATTTTCTGAAGGGAATTTCAAGAGCATGAAGGATTTTATGTTTGATACCCTGTCACATAGCACAGGCTGGTCCCACAGTAGCTGCTGGGTTTTGTCCTCTTTGAATTTTTGTTCAGGTTATTCAGTGCAACAGGAAGCCAAGACCTCCCTGACATGAGAACAATTAAATGAAGTGTTACATGGAAAACTTGTTTGGTAGAAAAATTAAATCCATAATTAATCTTTCCTGAAAAACAGAAAATTAACAATTGATTTATCCTACCAATTATATATTGGCAAATTCTGTGGGTTTTTTGCAGTAGCATTTTAACTTCCTCTGTTTTTCAGATCCCTGCTGACTCTTTAGAAGAACGTCATGGAATTCCAAGGTGGTTTGGGTTGGAAGGGACCTTAAAGTCCATCCAGTCCCACACCCTTTCATGAGCAGGGACACCTTCCACTATCCCAGGTTGCTCCAAGCCCTGTCCAACCTGGCCTTGGACACTTCCAGGGATGGGGCAGCCACAGCTTCTTTGGGCAACCTGTGCCAGGGCCTCACCACCCTCACAGCCAACAATTCCTTCCCAATATCCCAGTCTAACCCTGCCCTCTGGGTACCTCTCATCATGTGTAGGCCCCATTGCAGAGGAAAAAACTTCTGAGATGAAAAAAGAAATTCTTCTATCTTGTGTTCTGAAAAAAACCTGCTGCTTTCCTGTTCTTGCAAGATTTCTTGGAGGTTTGGAGTTTGTCAGGCTGTTTCATCCCATCTTTAAATCAGTTTTGTGAACATGCTGTCTTTGCAGCAGGGAAGGAATGTCTTCTCTTGTGCTTCCTTAGAAACAGGGATTAGTGGCTTTGCCTCACAAAAGATCCATTAATTCAGAAGAGATGATATTTTGTTGTAATTAATTTACATAAAACTCCTGTTTTGCTTAGATTAAGGATTTTCTTTAGAAGAGAACAAACTGCAGATGCTGATAATGAGATACTTGCTTGAAGCTGATAAGTAACAGGTTATATTTGTGCTTCTTTCATAGTTTCTTTATCTCATTCAAGAAATAATATGATTTTTGAGTTCTCTTGGAGTGAATAATCTCAGTGTGTCGTGTGTGACGTGTTGAGCAATGACCTCTAATCCCCACCAGGAAGAATTACAGTTCTTTCACTGGTTTAAGTGGGGAAAAGCACTGAGCACTGGTGTTTCCATGAGGAGGTGGGAAGCCTTGCAGGAATTAAGGAATTTGATGAAGCATTGATGTGACTCAGCTCCGGCAGTCGGGGGGTGGCTCTTTGCTGACTCTGTTGGGCTGATCCCTTTCCTCAGGAAAGAAAAGCTCTGAAAATTAGGATAGAACAAAATGTAGGTAAGAAAAGTGTAATTACGAAGGCTGAAATTAGTTCAGGGTGAGAATTAATAATACTGAAATTATTAAAAGTTTTAATTACCCCAAGTCCACAGGGCATGAAATGTTACTCTTTTCAAGCACGGGCTCTTCAATTCCATTGTGGTACAAAGAACAACAGAACTCCGAGGGGATTTTTTAATAGATTTTTCAGCATTTCTGTGTGTTTTCTTTTTATTTACCAAGGGTAAATAATGAAGCAAATTACAGACATGTGCAAACCCACTTCTTATCAAAATATATTGAAGTGCAGCCTTTCCTGTAGCCATTCCTGCAGCAAATAGTCCCTCAGGAGCACTTTCTGTAGGGGAGTCACCTCACACTCATTTTCTCACAGGACCTTAGCAATGCACCACAATTCAGGTTCAAGTTCCTTTGCTATTCAAGTATTAATCTCTTTTTATATCCAGCTTGTTCATCTCTTTGACTCACATCTGGAATTGGGTTGGTTTGTGTCTCCTGAAGAGGACATTTCCAGTAGATAATCCAAATAATCCACAAACCTATTTTATCATCACAGTCAGGCCTTACCAAAGCTTTCGAGGAAGGCAGAGTAATTAACTCACTTTTGTTTATCTGCTTCATTTTTTCCCTCTAACTTTTAAAACAACTTTCTCTTAAAGAAGAAATTACGGTTATTTTTATGAACTGCAATAATAGAAATGCTTTTGTTTGCATAAGCAAAAGAAAAAAAAAACCTTTAAAAATTGGTTTGGCTGCTGTAATTGCTATTTTTAGTGTGGTTCTAACACTTGGCTATTTGTAAACTTTCTGGCTGTTTTTTTATCCTGGTTTTGTTGTGGGGTTTTATTATACTGGTGTGTTTGATGCCTGTGCCCACAGCAGAGGAGAATAAAGCCCAGCAAAGTGCTTTGTAATTCCTGTGGGAAGAAGGGTTTGCCAGGGAGTTTTTGAAGTCTGTGTCACTGTTCAGTTGTTCATTATCTTCCAATGGTTTGAAAAGCTACAAATAATTTGTTATGCCAAGGGCATTTATTTTTACTGTGTCAGGGTTTGAATTATATTGCTTCCTGGTGTGAATCCCAAGAGGTTGGGCAGCTCCAGAGGTGGCTCTGGTTGGGAATTACGTGTTGTGGGACAAGTGCTCTGTCAGTTTTCATCTGTTTTGGTCTTGCGCAGTTGACTGAATGATTTGTGAAGATTTCTGGAACTAAAGATGCAGTGCAGGTATCAGTGGGGACAGACTGGGGTTGAGGGAATGGCGAGCCTTATTTTGCTTTACTCGGACTAATTCAATGCATTTTTTTCCCTAAACATAACTCAAAGCCTTGTAAGTGGTTTAGAAAATGGCAGTTGAATGTTTAGCCCTTCTTGCCTTTGTGATAACATGTTCCAGGACAGACTGATTTATCTATAATGTTAAAATGACTTCTCAAGAGGACAATATCTATTCCAGATTTAGGGACTGCCTGACATTATAAAATCTACTTATTGACTACTCTCTCCATTCCGCAGTGGTGAGTTAAAATGTTTTGTTCCAGTGACAAGTAATAAGACCCAGTTTTGTAAACTCGCTTGAGGGAGTTAGAGGTACTCACAGAAACTGAGGGAGGGTCTGCAGCACTTGGCATTGAGGATGGGAGAAGTTTGGGAACGGGGAATCTTCCCAGACGTCTATTTTACTGCAGAAAAAGGCCCTTCTGTGAGTTTTCAGCAGCCCAAGGTGGTACAAGAGGAGCAGGAATGGCTGGCGACCCAACCACCTGCTCTGGGGTTGTGTTTGTTCTGGCTCTGTAAGCAGGGAAATTTGTGTTCTTTATTCCTCTGGTTGAGGACTCAGTGGAAATGCCTCAGCAGTGACTGTGGGAAGCTGAGGAACTCTGCTGGTGTCAGAGGAACCACGTATAACACTAATTTCTGAGAGAGAATCAGAACCTGTGCCTGATTCACCACCATGACTCACGATCCAGGGACTGACACATCCCTCTGTGCTTTGATGAACATGATTGTACTTCTAACTCTACACAGTTATTTTCACTGTTAAACCAAGCAATGGTTGTGGCTGGGCTTGGAGTGTGTCCTTCTGTCCTGGTGTAGGGAAAAGCTGTTGGGTTGAGGTTGTGTTTTGTGATTCCACTGGCAAGTCACACTTCTCCATGTTCTGGAGAAAGGTAGAACAAGAACTGCAAAATACAGAGATTCTCAGGAAAACTGTATTCATGGACTGCAGACTTGATGATAAATCTAAAGAAAGGGTCCCCAAAATGCTGTTGGTTTCAGTAACCTGTGTTTTCTCCCCTTTTCCTTCAGTATGCTGCTTGGAGATGACAACCAAAAGGAAGATCATCGGCCGCCTGGTGCCGTGCCGGTGTTTCCGAGGGGAGGAAGAGATTGTGTCCGTGTTGGATTACTCTCACTGTGGCCTGCAGCAGGTGCCAAAGGAGGTTTTCAATTTTGAGAGGACCTTGGAGGAGCTTTATCTTGATGCCAACCAGATTGAAGAGCTACCCAAGGTAATCCATGTTCTGCTGGAAGACAAAGTTGAGTCCTTAAATGTGTGTTGAACAGGGTTGGCTCCTTCAGCTTGGAGAAGAGGAGACTGAAGGGAGACCTCATTGCAGTTACAACTTCCTGGGGAGGGGAAGAGGAGGGGCGGGCACTGATCTCTGCTCTGTGGGGACCAGGGACAGGACCCAAGGGAATGGCCTCAAGTTGTGTCAGGGCAGGGTTAGGTTGGATCTCAGGAAAAGGTTCTTCCCCCAGAGGGTGGTTGGGCACTGAACAGGCTCCCCAGGGCAGTGGTCACAGCACCAAGGCTGCCAGAGCTCAAGGAGTGTTTGGATGATCCTCTGGGGCACCTGGTGAGGCTCTTGAGGATGGGCCTGTGCAGGGCTGAGGGTGGGACTCAATGATCCTTGTGAGTCCCTTCCAGCTCAGCATATTCTGCAATTCTGGGTCCTGCTGCTGGCAGAGGAAGGGCTGGTAGTTCGGGGGGTTCAAGGACAACTTTGCACAGTTTCCTTCTTGAAAAACAGGAGAAACTGTGCCAAAGCAGCCAAACCCTTGTTCTTGCACTCCATGCTGAATGGGGTGGAGCAGGACACAGAGGACTCCTTCCCAGCACAGGAACATGGCCAGTGGAACCTTACACTGGGAAATGAACAACTGTCCAAAAGAAATGGTTCTGCATGAGTAATTCCTGTGGCATTTGGTACCTTGATGAGGAGCCACTATATTTGGATCCTCTTTATCCCTGCTTTTCAAAGCAAAGTCTCTGTCAGGATGAGCCTTTTATCCTTCTGGGATACCAGTGGGACCCTTCCGACTCAGAATATTCTGTGATTCTGTTGGGAAGTGCCAGTGCTGAGTAGGAGTTTCACAACTGCAATGAGATCACCTAAGTTATCCTTCCTGAGCAAAACTCCTCTTACAGAATCTTTCAATCTGTTCTTCCTGCTGATTAATATTTACTAGGAGGAATTAGAAGTTACTGTAACTTAAGTATTCTGGAAAGAAAAGAGAGCAAGGTGGTGGAAAAACCAATTAATGGCAGGTGCTGGCTACATAATGAAGCATGAAGGGATGTAATCCAGCCCTTAATTGAATTTCTCTCCACAATAATGAAAGATGCTTACAAGTCTTTAATTAAACACTGTCCCCTGTAATCCACTCTCCATCATCTCACAGCACATTTCTCAGTTAGGCTGCACAGAGACTTCCTAGAAATTCTATTTCCAAATGTAGAAAACGTGCTTTTCCTGTTCCATGGAGTTGCTTTACTGGGATGTGATGGGTCACTGCTTGAGGTTATTCACTCCATCCCTAGTTCTGCACAGATGGGAAGGCAGGGAAGCTCCAGGAGCTTTAGTTCATGGAAAAAATGGCTGTGAATTTTTTTGAAATTCCTTATCATCTTCAACTTGATCATGTTTAAAAATGTAATGATAAAATTATAAAAAATATAAAATTGTTATAAAACCACTGCTAAAAACTCGAAGTCCTGATTTACCCTGATTGCTTTCACTGATACTTCACTCTAGAACCCAATAAATTATTTTGCATTAAGCTGATGCATTCAACTCATTCTGCCTGCTTTTATTTTTTTTTACTTTTACCTTACATTTGATGCATCTTAATTATGATTTTTCTGTTACTTCATTAGAAATTAGTTTTTAGTTTGTAATTTTTATATTTCTTTTTTCTTTGAGGAATTTGCAGGATTGTTATATAATTCTTACCCTATTTTCCCCTAAATCTTGCCAAGTCTTTATTTTCTTTGCCTTTGACTTCATCATCGTAAACTGCTGCTGCACAAATGACCCTTATTTGGGTGAGTCAAATGAATGGATGACTAATAAAAAATAATATTGATCTCGATGAAGGTGGAGTGACTGGAAATCAGCATCCAGAAAAACAGGAGTGGGATGAAAATTCTCCCCAGGAGCCTTTGGAGCAGCCAAAGCCTCTCTGACTTGAGATATTCAGAATAAAAACCCGTAGTTATAATTAAATCTCAGTGAGCACCACTTGGGTTTTACTCTGAAAGGAATTAAAGTCATATATGAATATCCAGAGTAATGGTTCCAACAAAATCAGGATGGCAAAACCAGGAAGCTCCAGAAACTCAGAAAAACACCTTTGGAACATCCAGTGGGGGGAAAAAGTGGGCAATTTTAAGCCTACGTTCCTGCATCCCCACCCTTATCTTCTTTCTGATACAACAGTACATCGTTCAAATCACTCCAGAGGTCTCTTCCTTCAGCAGTTCCAAAGCCTTGGATGTGTTCAGACAGTGTCAGAACTTTGAGTTCCAAACCTTCCTTGGCTTCTAAAATAAGAATTCTCCAGGGAATGGCTGGGAATGTGCACTGGGCATTTCATTTTCCGTACAGTATTTTGTTTGTGGAGTTTAACTCATGAAATTTTCTGCCCAAACCTTGACCTGGTTTGCATTTGTATCAAAATCCTGCAGGTTCCTCTTGCTGAACATCCCCAGGGTCTGGAGCTGCTTTTGTGTAGAACAAGGGGCACCTCCAGAGCCTCTTACTTATGGTGCTTTCCAGACTCGTCCCAAATGATGTGCTTGCTTAAAAGAGGAAAAGCAGGTGTTGTTGGAAAGAATTCCTTGTTCTCGAGAGAGAGATTTCCTGTGGATGGGGTGGGAAGTGCCTGCATGGAATGGGTTCTCCTGTCCCTCTTGGATTGTGCTTCTCATCCTGAGCATTCATTATTCACATGATTGCCTCCCTTTTTCTGAGAATTGGTCATTTTGAAGGAAAAGCAGAATTTTTCTACAGGATTATCATGGAAAGTTGCCTCAGAAATGTTTAAAGTTGTTCTAAAATTTACTTGAAGTGAAGCAACAAGTTGGCATTTCACACCTTCTTGGTGTTAGTTTTCTCCTCCCTGGATACTTGGCTGAGTTCTCTATTTAGGAAATTAAATTATTTTGCATTCCCAAATAGGCTGTGGGTGAGTTTATGGACTTTATTCTCACAGATAAGTCTGTGAGAAAGACTAAATCTGGCGAGAGCTGCACTGATACTGGAAGGACCCTTGTGATGTGCTTGCAAAGAGCAGTTGTTTTCCAGAACTCAGTGAATTTTCTGGTGAAAACTGGGGACCTGCTTTTGTAAAATTAGAATTTGAATGAAAAGTAAGAATCAAGTCCTGAATTTTGAGAGGGAATAGAAAGAATGTATCATTGTGTTAATGCCAGAGCATTTTCATAACTTGAAGATGATTAATTTAATCTGCGTGCAGTCAAAATATAATTAAAATATGTAATGAAATTATAAAATAAAATATTTTTTTCCACAAGACACAAAATTTTTTCAATTGATATGACATATGTGAAGCATATCAATAATATATAATTATTATATAAGATGTAATAATATAAATACTTACAGAACATTGATTGCAATAAATATGCAGTTTTGGACAGAAAGCTCTCCTTGACCATTGCTGCTGCTAATTTCAGTTATTCCTATCAACTGTAAGAATGTACTCTTGAAAAAATATGTTTTGAGGATTGAATTCTTCTGGAGCAAGTGGAGTTTTGTGGTATTTCACAGAATCAGAGTTGGAAGTGACCCACAAAGATCATTGAGTCAAACTCCTAGTCCTGCCCAGGACCATTCTGTATATAAATAATGATCCCAAACTGTTTTTTTTTTTTTCCCATGACACTCTGTAAATTGTCTTTTTGTTGTTGTTGTTGCAGCAACTGTTCAACTGTCAGGCTTTACGGAAGCTGAGCATCCCTGACAACGACCTGTCCAGCCTCCCCACCACCATCGCCAGCCTCGTGAACCTCAGAGAGCTTGACATCAGTAAAAATGGTGAGAGACCCAAAGTATCTTAAGGAAGTGTGGTGAATATGAGCAATAATGAAGTTTTAATTCCTAATGGTTAAGAACCTTGTGGTCTGGGTCTAGATTATGGTTTCCTGCCTGGCACTTGGGAGAAGGTTCCATAAAGATCTACATTGTTTATTTTTCTTTTAAAAATTAGACTTTGGCTTAGAATCACATGACTTGTGCCCAAAAAAATTGGAAAGAGGAGTGTGAGGCCACTTTTCGGTGCACTTATGAACTGTTCCACTTCCCAAAGTGGCTTAGAACTCATGGGGCTCTTGTGTGAAGGATTTAAGCAGGTGAGGCTGTGGGTAAACAATTCCAAGGACTTATATAGATCAGTTTGGTGATGTGCATCCCCAGTTATGCATTTACACATTTAGGTACCTAAAAACCTTTGCAAACCTGAACTCAAGTGTCTTTGTTTTAAAAATGAGGCTTTGGCAGTCCTGGAAATGTTGGGAAATTTCTTATCAGTGGAGGCCTTGAGACTCTCAGGCTTCTGTGTGTTCTCCAAAGAGACAAAGAGAAGCAGTTTGGGAAGAAGTGAAAGGCACAAATATCAGTACAGATGATGTCACTATTTGGCTCTAGAAGATTATATAAATCAAGCATTAGCATAATAGTTGTAGTACAAGGCATAGGATCTGTTCTGATGTGTTTATTTAGGGCTTAAGTACTTTTAGACTGTAATACTGAATATGTGTATCCTTCCTGTTGGAGCTGAAGTCTGATCTGAAAATACCAAATGAACTCACTTATGAACAAAACAAATAAACAGGTTTTTGTGTAAATAATAATTATTTCCTTGGTTTTTTAGGAATTCAAGATTTTCCAGAAAATATCAAGTGTTGTAAATGTTTAACAATTATCGAAGCCAGTGTGAACCCCGTGTCCAAGTGAGTATCAGCAGCTGGGTTTGCATTCTGTAGGTGCAGAAAATGAGCTCAAAGTTAAATGAATTGTGTCAAGGTTATTTGCAGGATCAATCTAAATTTCTTTCTAGTTGTTTCAAATGCAGAGGGGATGAATCTGTTTTAAGATCCGAGTCCTCTGTTAATGAATGTGGGGTCTTTCCACTTAGCAGAGAAAGGGTTGGCAAAGCACAGGGGCTGAGGTTTCGTGTGTTTGGCCACTGAAAACCTCTTGGTTGGGGCTTTGGCAACACTTTTTCCTTCCAAAAAGTTGCAGTAAAAAAATCTGGGTTGTAAAGCAGGATTTATAAAATGGAGTGAAGGAGGTGAAAGGATGAATTTTTACTACTTCAGTTTTTTTAAACAGAGAGAAAGAGAGAGAGAAAGAATGAGAGAAAAAGAGGGGGAGAGAGACAGAGACACAAGAAGAAAGAGAAAGGGAGAGAGAAAGAAAGGTAAAGAAAAAGAAACAAACAAACAAAGAAAGAAAGAAAAAGAAAGAGAAAGAAAAAGACATTTTGGCTTAAACCCTCACCTAGGAAGGAGGAAAAGGCTATTTCATGTGGTTATTGCAATGTAGAGAAGATGAGAATGAGCAAAAACGTCTGTAATGAGTAAGTTCTTCTGGAGAATTTGGATAGAAAATGAAGGTGAGAGGGAAAGTCACCTTTCTCCTTCTAAATATACATTGTTTTATTTCCATGGCAACGCTGAGGTGAGCATTAAGGGTTTCACTGTTTTTTAGGCTGCCAGATGGCTTCACACAACTTCTAAATCTGACCCAGCTCTATCTAAATGATGCCTTTTTGGAGTTTCTTCCAGCTAACTTTGGAAGGTAAGGATGAGTCATCAAAGCACAGTGATGGTGCATTTGAACCCGGCTTAGGCTCTAAGGAACTGGTTTAAATCTGCCTTCTCTTGAAAAACTAAACAAAAACCAGAGATTTTGGCTTTTCAGCAGAATTTGTTGAATGATTGTTGTAGAGGAAATGTTGTGTCAGCAGTAATTTGGTGATGAAGTGCTGCAGTTTGGCAGTTGAGGGAAAAAGTGAGAAGAAATAGAACTTGAAGGTACCTGTCCTTCATCAAATGTGTGGCTCAGCTGTGGCAAGGGCAGAAAACAGCAGTGTGGGCTCTGCCATTGAAAAATGGGCTGAGAGATAAAGGTTGTGAGTCAGAAAGGAAGAAAGAAAGGACTAAAAGACAACATGTGAAACCAGAACAAGAGAGAAGATTCAAAAGACGGTGGAGCAGAAGGGCTGGAGAATGAGGGTAAAAATAAATGCAGCAGAAACAGAGCCAAAAAATGTTAAATAAGGACAAAGCAGAGGTGGTGGAATTCAAAGTTGACCCAATTTGCCATAAAAGGGTGCAGGAGGACCTGGTGGATCCCTATCCTGCTCAACTCTGGCAGAAATGGGGAGTTTATTCCACTTGATGAAGGTGATGGTTGACCTTTCTGCCCCTGGACTGTCCACCTGTGCAAAGACCTCAGAAGACAAAATATGAACAGAAAAAATATTTAGCATTGTTACAGAATTCACCTAATACCAGTTTTATACTGGTCCATCCTGTATGTTTCATGGTTCAAGTGGGAACACCAACCCAGCACTCTAAAACTAATCCTGAGGTGAGCCGGTTGTGTTGGCAGTGACATTGGTCTGCTCAGGCCTGGGGAAATCAAGTGCTGCTTGGCCCTGACCCAGAGCTGAGCCTGGCTGGAATATATCAGCTTTTCACAGTAATTCTAAACTATTTTATTAATGACTTGAGCAAAGTAAATGGAGTAAAATTTCATTTCTCTCAAGTATTTCCAGATTTGCTGAAGGATAAAAAGCAATTGCTCTTCAGTTCACAACTTCCTTTGAAATTTTCTGTAAATTCTACTACCCCTCGCAGGTCTCCTTTTAATTTACAGTAATTTTAGCAGAAGTAGGACACGTGCTGAGTGTTGGTGTGAATTAGAACCTACACACAACATCCCTTCCAAACTCCATTGTGTATTAGGTGAATTCTGTCAAAGCTTTTCAGAAGGGTTCTGCTGAGGACACACATGTCCTGTCTGAGTGTGTCTGCCCTTACAGGAAATCATTTGGTTCTGAACACATTTGGTACCTGAGAAGAACTGGACATTGGACTGTAGGGCATGAAACAGACCCTTAGAAATAAGTAATTTTAAATGATTCTTGTGGATACCTGAGCTAATTCACTGAATGAACTCATTATTTTCATTGCTATTTCTAGACTTGTCAAATTGCGAATTTTGGAGTTAAGAGAAAACCACTTGAAAACTCTACCAAAGTAAGTGATGGAATATTTACATTTATTCACGTGGAATTGCCGAAAGTGCAAAATATTTGTATTTACAGGGATGCAGTGGTGTAATTTCTGTTAAGAGTGTAATTTTTTTGCATGATTTAAAGAAATTTTACTTAAGGGTTTTAGCAAAAGGAAAGATCTGTGTTTCTGTGACATGGTGGAAGACGAATCCTGGTACATTAACTGAGTGGCCAAAATCTACAATGTGACACTTTAAGATAAGTAACCAAAATTGAAAAGTAGCAGATGAGAGGACCCTGGTCAGTGGTGATGTGACAGTTTGTTTTCCTCACCAAGAATTAATCTGTTGAAAACACCGTCTGTGTAACCTAATGGAACACTGGTTTGAACAGAATTTAAATGTTTTTGGTGCTTTTCAGAACAATTAAAAAGTCTGTATCAGCAGAATACGGAGGAAGTATCAATTTGCTGGTGTTTTTTGGTGCTGTTTACAAAAAAAAAAAAAAGGAAGTTTCTATAATTTGTTGCTGGAATTTGACCAGGATTTCAATGGTTTTGAAAAGGAAATGGTAAAGAACTGAACAATAAATCTCTACCCCTCCCATGCTGCACTGCATAAAACAGGGAATTTGCTTTTCTATCCAGACTAGAATTATGTAATTGTTTTCTGGAAGAGGGATCCTCACCAATGGAAAAATATCCACGGATTGGGGCTTGTTAGAAAGGAGTTTAATGCCTCAGTTTGGAACTCCAATGCACTTCTGGATGTTCCTATTTTCTACCAGCACCACTTTCTCTGCTTAAAATACTTTTGGGTGTGCGGTTTTAACCCACTGAAAATATTTATATGTTCAGCCTCTAGATCTTCCCAATACTCTTCTATAAAAACAGTAATTTATTTCCCCTCTATGTGGTTTGACCAAAGATTATCCTGATGCCAGTTTCCAGGATCTTCTGAACAGTTAGAAATGCTTGGAAACCTCTGGGCAATATTGCAAATAATTGATAGTATTTTAGTAAAGCTTTAATTTGTGCAACAGAATTAGAATTAATTTTTTCCCTCTTGAAATCTCCAGAGCATTTGGGAGATTCTGACCAAGTTATTTGCTTGATGACTCTCACTCTGCTGGTAGCAGAGCCTGTCCTTGGAGAAGTGCACTCTGGTTTTCTGCTCCTAAAACCCAACCTAGTCCAGAATTAACCCAACCCCAGACTAAAATTACCAGTTTTCCCAATTTTTGTGGACAAACATTCCTGAACACTCCATACCCAAAGCTCAGAGCTGTTCCCTCCTAACGAGCATTGTTGTCCCTGTTGGCATGACGAGGGTCTGTGGTTTTGTCAATGGTTACAGTAATTTGAACTAAATTCCTAATTATTCAACAAAATCTAGGAGCTAAATTTACATCTTAGTTGGAAAAAGAAAGTTCTAAGAACTTTTCCGACAGAAGTTTTTAATTTATCCAACTGTTGTGTTTAAGCCTGGCCTGGTTCCAGGCTTAATTTGCTTGAATTTTGTATTTTCTGAGAACAGACTCTGTCATAAATATTCATTACTCTTCACATCAGGAGGTGTCAGCAGACCTGCCACTCCCAAACTGAATGTTTTGGGACATTGTTGAACTCCTGAGAGCAATCAAGAGTGTTTCATATCTCAGGAAAAACCCAGAAACTCCCGGTGCAGTTGGTTGTTCCAGGTCTAGAGTGTTTCAAAGATCTTTGAGCATATCACAGCACTTGGATATTGGCTCTGAGAGCTGTTTGGGCAGAGGAAAACACCTTTGCAGGGTTCTGGGGAGTTTCTTTCAGTAGACATCTGGAAAATTGAAAAATTGTAGGGACCTCATTTGTTGCCGGTGAGTCACCAGTGTCTTAGAGCCTGAAGGGGCTGTAATAGTGAGAAAATACCTGTATTTGCTGGGTGAGTCACTGGTGCCCAACTGGAGTTGTGGCTTCTCAGCTCCTCTCTGGTTTGGACAGTAGGAATTTCAGCTCTGTTTTTTTCTGCATGTTAGGAAATGATGTCCAATGGAGACATTACCAAAGGTGTGAGTCCCTGGCACCTGATGTCAGGGAAAATCAAGATTTGTCTTGGTCTTCAGCTATTGGTCAGAATTAATTTGCTTTGTGAGGAGTAAAAATTGAATATCTCAAGGACAGCCTCTAAAATTGGCAGAATTAAGTAATTTTGAAGGTGAAAGCATTTAAAAAGTGGGTGAAATTTAATAGCACAGTTAGAAGGTCATGTCCTGAGAGATTAGCAGAGATTTTTGATACATGAGGAGTTCTTCAGTCAGGAATCAGACTGGGCAGAAAAGATGTGGATGTAAAATGTCTGAGTCATTGATCTGAGAGAGCCCCTATAAAGCCAAATGCTCTTTATCAGAGTGTTTTCACTGGAGACAAAGAAACCTTTGGGACGTGGGAGGAAAAAAAGGGAGATGTCATTTGGGAAAGATCCAGATGGAATAGAGATGGGGAATAGTTAAACAGGTCCTAATCTGATAGGAAAAATAATGGATGTGCAGTATTATATGGAATATATTAATATATATATTTAATAAATTTTATTTAAAACAGTGTGTTACTTAAGCTGAAGTCAAGGGGAGATATGTCAGTGTTTATCTCTGAACACACTGACCATGAATCAGATTATGGAGTAAACTGGGGTTTGGGTAAAATGGTTAGTGGATAAACTGGTTATTGGGGAAAAGGATTAGTTGGAAAACTGGTTTTTGGATAAAAGGGTTATTGGATGAACAAGTTATCAGGTAAATTGATTATCAGGTAAATGGGCTGAAATAATTCAGAAATGTTTTTATCAGAAATTATATAATTACATTGTGAGGTTCTTTGTGTGGCTCAGCACTTTGACATTCCTTTGCAGACATTTGCATGTGTCATTCTGTTCTTGTTGGTTTAAACAAGCATTTTCCTGAAATATTCTGATTTTGCAGTTATCTGGGTCCCCTCAGTTTGCTTTGTCTTGGTGCAATCTTCCTGCACTCCAAAATATTTCATAGCTGTTGTTTTACCCCTAGTTTGAGTCAGGAAGAAAAGGACTTTATGAATAAGATTATGATAATAATGATGATGATGATAAAGGTGGAGGGTTTTGTTCCTTTTGTTAAAATTAGCCATTTTATCTTGATCTGGTTTCAGACGTAAAATATAAACCAAAGTTTTTAATTCTTGATCGCACATTTTTAGGTTCTGATTGTAACAAAACCGTGTGGAAACAGAGGTTCCGTTTTAGCCACACGGTTTTATTTCTGAGACTTTCTGCTTATTATTTTTGCTGTCCAAATGCAGACTCTACTTGGACAATCATTATTTGGTCTTACCTGTTGCAGGCAATAAAATATCACATCAGTGTTTTCTACTTTGCCTTTTTCTCCAAACACCTCCAGTTGTGAGGAATCTCTGAGCTTTTGCTGCCACTGTTTATGTTACAACAGGATTTCTGTGCGTTCAAGTGCCACAAAGTCTGTGAAAAATAAATGTTCCTATTTTCTATAATATTTTATTGTCAGTGCTCAAATATCTTCCTTGAGAAAGGACATTAGATGAGTTTTCTTCTAATAATTCCAAAGCACAGAAGGTCAGTCTCATTTAAAGTTTGCCATTAAAATTGTTTGAAAGAGAGATGGACACAAGAAGGATCCCCTTCATTAAGTTTTTCCTTCTGGATAATGAATTAAAGTATGAAAACAATATTTCTGTGCAGATAAAGTATCTGTTTTGGCTTCACAATTCTATATTGCAAAAAAAGCTTGGGGGGAAACCACATTTTTCACCCAGAAGAATTTACTCTTACTAAATGTCATGAAATGGGACTTTTTCTATCCTTTGAATTCCAAGTGCACCTTTATTTTTTTCTGTAACTATAATGTGAAAAAAATGACATTTTTCTCTGACATTCTTCCATTTCTTTTTTCCATGTCTTCCCACTTCTCTCAATTTCTTTTAGTCCCCCAAAATTTACAAATATAAATGTAGAAAGTAAATGCTGGTGGAGAGGATACAGGTTCCTTTCTTTCCTCTGGATAATTTCTTTATTTCTTTACTTATTATTTTCTAAACTGGTTAAATCAAAATTTTTATGAGTTATGGGTTGTTGTTTCTTTTATTCCCTGTTCAATCCCCCAGCAATGCTGTAACTCTTTCACACCTGAAATTAAATGCTGCTCTGGGAATACCAGACTTTTCATTATCCCACTACCAGATTTGCACCAAATTAATGTGCCAGGTACCCACTAGCACAGAACATTTAGCAAAGCAATAAGATGGGAACAAGGCAAAGTGGGAGTAGTTTCCTGTTCTTGATGTAATGATCATAAATCTAGATTTATTGAAATTATTTGTAACTCTTAGTTATGTGGATTATTTTTTAAAAGTGGTGAGAATGTGGATGAGACTCAATGTATGAAGATTTCTAAGCAGTAGCATAAAACCTGTATAAAAAGGACATAGTGATTTGGTTTTAAAACAATATAAAGTGAAGTAGACCAGATTCTTCCTTGGTAGAATAAATCTCAAATAATAGTGGGTGTTTTGCAGAGGTTAAATTTGTGAATTGGAAGGTTAAATTTGCAAATTGGAGGTATTTAAACCTATAGAGTTACAATTCTTATGCCATTTTGTGGCTTAGACTTTACTCCAAAGTGACAAAATAAACAGAATCATACAGAAATTCCAAAAAGATATTCAGAGATCAAACATATCCAAACCCATTACCTTCCTCCAGATGGGAAATTTGCTGGAGAAAAGTGATTATTATTTCCACTAACCTCAAAATCGAGTGGTAAAAAGCTTTCTTGTGACTTACAAACATTAGTGCCATAACATTTCTATCCTCACATCCTTCCCACTCCCCAAATCCCATTTTAGGAAGTAGATTTGCAAAAATCACAGGTTGTCTGAAGTGTGTTGAAGTCAGTGGAACAGGGAATTTAGATCAGCTCAGAACATGTCCAGGGGATCTAAATGTGGGGGAAAGCTTCACTTTCTCCTGCTATTTT